TGAATGAAGTGATCAGTGTAAGTTGATTATATTCACTTGACCTTATTAAGGTGAGCCATATCCTTACTAATTTACTGCCTGGCACATCCAGCCATTTCTGATAGAGTCATGTCCTAGTCATTAACTGTGATAGTAGGTTCCTCTATTTCCATCTGCAGTTCTATTATTTTTTTTTTGTCTCATAGATTTTCATGTTCCTTTTTCTAGGTTCACACATTTTAATGAATGCTATGTCTTTTTAGAGAACTGACTCCTTTCTTATTATGTAACATTCTTTTCTATTCCTAATGGTATACTTGCTTGGAAGTCAACTGTAACTGAGATTAGGATAGCTATGCTCATTTTCTGTTATTGCTATTGACTTGGTATATTTTCTTACACCAATTCTATTTCTATTTACTAATACACCATTGCAATTTAAAGTGAATATATTTGTATTTAAAGAGAATTTTTTTAATAGAAGATATGTTATGGAACTTGTTTGTAAATTTACTCTGACAATTTCCTTCAATTGATACATTTAGCAATTGGTGTTTATAACCAAATAAAAGCATTACTTTAAACTATTAACATAGCTAGTTTACTACCTACCACATTTGTTATGTGTCTGTTTCTTTTACATTTTGTTATTATTTTTGTATTCTTTTATTTAATATAATTTTTATTGATCATTTTGTGATTTTATTTTCTCGAAATTTTTAGCACGCAGTTCTGCTTCTTTTTTTATATTTTAAATGTTTAGTTTAAAGTTGCAATAAGAATTACAGCTAGTCCAACTCCACTTGCAAATAGCTATAAACCTCCCTATGGATAGTAAAAATACTTTATGATATTAGTATATTCTGAATTCCTTGCTGTTTTCTCTAATAATTTGTCATTAATGTTATTCCTACATTAGCATATGCTCATGTATCAACTACATCCATTTACCCGTGCACATGTACATGTTTGAATGTAATTTTAAACAAACTTACATCAGATTAAAAAAGAATATAAAAAATACATGTCTATTTTGCTTTCACCATTTCTTCTATTGTAAAAAATAGCTCTTCCAAATTTAATGCAGGTCTCTATTATATTCTTTCATAAATATTTCTTGCCAGGTGTGGTGGTGCTTTGTCTATAATCCCAGCACTCGGAAGGCTGAGGCAGGAGAATTGTAGCCAGTTTGGGGCTACATAAGCAAGTTCAAGGCCTGCTTGGGCTACAGAGTGAGACCTTGTCTCAAAAATTAATTAATTTAATTAAAATTAAATAAATAAAATATTTCCTGCAATGTAGTTCTACTGTAAAATATTTTTTACTTTATTTTTTAAATTATCCTGAAAATGTGTTTCTCAAATTGTCTTTGACATTTGAAAGGTAATTTCTTAAGGGTACAGAATTCTAGATTGGTGAATTTTTCCTCTCAACACTAAGTGTTTCATTTCTTTCTCTTATTGTGTGATTTCTGAGAAAATAGAGTGATTTGTCTTTTGCTTCTCTTTAGCTAAGTTGCTTTTGGCCTCTGACTTTTTTCAGGATTTTATACTTTTTAGTTGATATTCTGTAGTTTGGATATTGTATTCCTGGAATTTATTCTGTTTGGTAGAGTCTTCACTTCTGGATCTATGGCTTGCTGTTTGACATTTATTTGGAGAAATCTTTGTTCATTATTGCTTTGTGTATACTATTTCTTCTTTTCGTTTTGCTCTTCTGATATTTTCTTACACATATGTCATACCTTTGATAGTTGTCCCATAATTTATAGATACCATTTTTTTGTTTTTCATTTCTTTTTGTCTTTGCTTATCATTTTGGAAATTTTTGTAAAGATACCTCTAATCTCAGCTGTTTCCTTAATTGTGTTCAGCCTATTTATATGTTCATCAAAGTTGTTCTTCATTTCTGTCATAACATTTATAATTCCTAACATATTTTTACATTTTTCTAATGATTTCCATCTTTCTGCTTGCATTACTTGCTTGTAGTTAAATACAATCTACTTTAATCATTAAAGACCTTTCTGCATCAATTAGGTATTTTATACTTCTAGTTCTAGAATTCCAGCACCCTAGCACATCTGATTTGATACTTTGTCTCTTTAATCTGTGTCTTCCTTTATCATCTGACTTGTAATTGTTACTTGTAATGATAGTTAGGCCTGTTGCACCAGAATAGAAAGTAATGGCTATCAACAGATTTTGTGGTGATATAATAAGATACAGATACAGGGAAAAAAATTATAGCCCTATGAATAGGGTTCAGTATTTTCCTAGGCCTGTGGCCTGGAATGTAAACTTCTCAAACACCTCTCAGGTTTTCAGCCTTATGTTTGTCCCCTAAATGGGACGGGGTAATTAGTGAGTTCTAAAATTAGGTGTTTCCATTCCTTCCTACGAAAGGCTAGCACTAGCTGGAGTTGTGAGTCCCTGTTTCTAGATCAGTTAAGCTCTAACAAAATCCCAGCAGGTTAAGATTTGGTAAAGTAGTTCCTCTGGACAAAAAGTTCAGTCTATGGAGAATGGTTTATTTACTCCTCCCCCTTCCAGAACCTTGAGTAGATTTTATTTTCTCCAATGTTGTCTTTAAGGGCCTGGTTGAGTCAAAACTCGTGAAAAATGGAGCCATATCTACTGATTGAGTCCTCTGAAGTCTTTAGCTCTCAGATTTGTACATACTGAGCCTCTGAAAATTTGTCACTTGCTCTTTTGTTTTCTGGTTCTGAAACAGATTCTTGTATCTGTTTCCACTCTGACTCTCTAGTCTTTGTTTTTCTAGTCTTGAGCTGTGTTCATGTGTTTGTATCTCCGGAAGCACTGGTTTGTATGTGACCTGACTTCTGTTTTGATCTCATTCTTACAGTCCTAAGAAGGTGTTGCTTTGCCCTGTACTCTTTTACTAGTTAGGACTGAGTGTTGATTTTCAATCTCCTCCCATGGTAAACGAGAAACAAGGGCTTACTTATTTTTCTACTTTAAAGTCCTTTAAAAGCCTAACCTAGTGTTATATGCTTGGGTATTTTTGGTTGCTTTGAAAACACATTTTTCTTTTTAAATTCTCATATAGTTTGGTCTATAGAAGGAAATTCCATGAAGCTAAACCATATTTATTTTAGGATTTAGTTCTGTTTAAGACCTTTCTAGAACAACATTATATGTAATTACTAAGAAGAGTCATTTTAAAGTCGAATCATAAATGACATGAGAAATTAACTTCCTTTCAGTTCCTCTCTCTTGGTGTTTGATAATGATTTGGGAAAATGTTAGGTCATTAGGAAAACTTAATGTTTGCTCTTGTTTTAACCAAAATATTCAACTTTCTGCATAGCTTAATTGTCTTTTAAGTCATGTCCTGGCTAAAATGCTACCATGTAAATTAAAATGTCGTTCTATGTAAAGTAACCACCACACTGGTTCTATCACACCATCCTCTTAATTTACTTCCTAGACAGTGAAAATCTGTTTATATACTTGCTTATTGACTGTCCCACATCCAGATTTCATAAGTATCCTTTTCCCTTTTTTAGTTCATAATTCTTATCTGATTAAAATACTACATAGCATAGAATATATTCTTAGTATTTGAGGTTAAATTGTGCAAAAACTTCAAATAAGTTTCAGAGGAAAATTACTGGATACAATATAGTGTCTACAATTTAAATCAGTCTTTCCTTACTTCCATTTCTCAATCTTAGTATATTGTCTATATAGGAAAGGTAAAGAAGAAAGGAGAAGGTTTTCTATAATATGAGTCATTGAAAACTTGAAATGATTGACAAGTAACAATATTTGTCCAGGAGATAAATGGACACAGGCTAGTAAATTTAGTAGCATTCTTGGCATATTCTGTGTGGTCCTCAGTACTGGTAGTCAACATTAATTGATATAAATATTATCATCAAGGTCAGCGTCAGGGACATGCATTTGAATTTGCGGCAGCTGCAGATGCAGTTGTGTCTCTAGTGAATGTTGAAATTTTGAGGATGCAATAACTAGAATTTTCAATACGCAAAGCAAAAGGAGAAAGTGCTAAGAATCATGCAGTATCCATGGAGACAAATAAGTTCTCGGATCATTAAGTGTGACACTTCCAGAGACCTCTCAAGAGTATCTATACAGAAACTGAAGGAGGCTGGATTTTCTGAAGAATAAATAGGAACATACAGTGCCAGAGAAGTTTTACATTGTGTTTTTAATCTTCTTTTATTGCCAGGCTGCTGAAGTCTAGGAAATAAATGTTTCCTTTTAAAAATAATTAATCGTTCGCTTGTTTGAGAATAAAATGATCAGACAAATAACAAACAAATGAAAGAAAAATAACAGACAAACAAATTAAAAGACCTCTAAAGATTATTTGTATACAAGAGATTACAAAAATCTAAACCAAGTAGTTACTTTTTTACTTTACCAAAAAATATAAAAAATAAATGTTTAAAAGTTTAAATTCTTTTTCTAGGCTTCTTGGGTTCAAAGCTCAGTTCTCCTAGGCTCAAGTTAAACAAAATATAGGAAATATTACTTTCTCACTTCCAAATATTCTCACAATTTAAATATGCAACGTGATTTTCCCCAATGGAAAGCATATAAACACTTCATGTCCATGTCTTAACATCTTCCAATATAAAGTAAAACTTAGGAAATTCAGATTCACCTACAGCTGCAGGAATACTGACAGTGCACTCTGCCCTTTCAGTCGGAGGACTGCTGTGGGTTACTTGTAATTTTATAAACCATATTCCACACTTCTAAGAGAAGGATCCAAGTTAAGTCATGTCTCAGCTGCTAACCTAAAGTAACATTGAAATAATAAATGGCAGTTATTTTAAATTTCTATGTTTTTAATGATCTGTTGTGCAACATAGAAGCCTAATGTACATTAGTGGGAGGAGAACAGTCCCAACTCCTAGGAAACAACACCTTAGAAGCCATGATGTAGAAAGAAGGAAGAAGGACACTTATTTTTCTGTTTTTCTGACAGTCCCCCACCAAGCCCACGTTTTGTTTGTTTTTGTCTTTCAGATTACTGAAGTACCTTCTCATGAAGAAAACTGCTCTTGTTTGCTCTCACAAATTGTTGCATTTTAAAATTTACTGACTATTAAGTCTACAATTTCTCAACAGATGACTCCAAGCACAATTTGATCATTAAGTCCACTGATATTAGAATAGTGCTGGAGAAACAGAAGGAGTGGCCTTGATTATAACTTAGTCATTCAATAAAAGAGATAATTACCTGTAGTTAGTGATACGGACACAGAATGACGACTCTCTATGACCAGCCTCCAAATCAATGGCCAGACTCATTTAATCAAAATGAATAGAAATCCTGAGGCTAATAAGAGCCAGCTGAGAAGCCATGCAGAGGCCCTACCAAGCTGAGACCCCTGAGAGATTCAGGCCTCCCTTGAGGGAAGGAATCCAACAGTTTTAAACAACTCTTTCCTTTAGTAGCCACTGTTTATGTCCTCTGAGTGTACTTTTTATATAAACGTTATGCATTAGTTTTCTTCCCACTGTAACATGTATTAACTACCACTTTAATGGTAGTCATTAAGCAAATGGAAGTCATTAGAGTATGGCAAAGACATTACCAGTAGTTCATGTAGCCACAAGGAAACTGCAGATATCTCTTCCAAATGTGTCTGCCTTTATTTACTCAGGGGACTCTCTGGAAATGCTGGTGACTCATTGCTCAGGCATACTTTGTGAACAATTTTCCTGCAGTGGAAGTCATCCAATTAAAAAGGACGGTACACAATATATGTCTGAGTTTTGTTGAAGTCATCAGTGGTACTATCTGGGACTTGGAATGCATTAAAGACAGACTCAGCTCACTAGCCAGGATTGCCTTAGACTTTGTCCTTGATGGCCAAGTGTCTATATTATTGAAAATCTATCTTACTGATTTAATGCTGTAGGCCAATTTCAGTACACAGTTTTGTGACTCCATCTACCCTTCTGAGGTAGATCTTATTCATTTGTAGGACTTATCCTGTAGGTAATTCGAGGGACAAGATTGAGTTTAATAATGCAGGCTGACCATGTCTACCTAGCTGTATTTTTAATGTTAGTAGTGTTATGGCCAGATTTCTTGGAATAGCTGACAGAGTCTAATGGTAATGGTTACCAGAAACAAAAATGATGATTCTAGGAGGGATGGGTCTTTGGTGGGACATGATTATCTGTGGAACACATATCTTTGTATATAAGCAAATACACTGAGCGATACTTGTTTTGAACCATCATTTTGGACACGTGCAGAGAGATAGTGTCTCCTTCTGAAATCAAGAATACATATGCTTATTGCTCAGATAGTATCTCCCTCTGAGCAAAAATTGGGCGTGTGTATCGCTCATTCCTAAAGATTTCATAAGCTCAGAGTTTGTCTACTGTTGAACACAACACCTTAAATGAGCAACAATCATCTGGCCCTCTCATCTTGCTATATGGGAATAGAAATTTAAGTTGTGTTTACAACATGATTTGCTGAATATCTGAAACCTATTGCTAAGTCTTATTGCTTAGAAAAGAATTGGTTTCACATTACTACTCATTCACAATTCAGCTGGTCATCCAAGAATTCTGACGAAGGTGCACAATGAGATGAAGCTTGTTGTATCTGCTATCACAGCATTCATTCCTACAGATTGAGGACCACCGTTCACCTTCAGGTATTAAGATTTGAGAAATTCAATTCCAAATGCTGTAACTACCATAGAGAATGATTACTTTGATGGGAGCAAAATAAATTGCAAATCTTCTGCCATTCTAGGTAGTATTAAAATCATTAGTGACTCACAGGAGGTTGTTAAAATACTAACCCTTATGAAGACGTTGGAAGAAGTTGGCTCCTGTCCTCAAGGATGATATTGAAAAGTTGAAGATTTTTAATCAAGGAGGTAACAGAGACATGTTGGAAATATCAGGGAAACTAAGATTAGAATTGGATATTTAGATGTGATACAATCTTATTAAAAAATATAATCGATGAGGAATTGTTTTTTATTCATGAATAAAGAAAGTGGTTATATTAGATGGAATAAATCTATTCCTGCTGAGGATGCTGTGATCTTTGGTGAAGTGACAAACTTTTTAGACTATTACACGAACTTAGTAGATGAAGCTGAAGCAAATTTTTTTGTTTTGTTGTATTAAGAATCAAACTCACAAATTCACACTGACCAGTCAAGCCCATGACCCTGAAGCGAGTTTTGAAGACATTGACTTCCTGTTTGAATAAAGTTACACTCTGTGTAAAATCTCTCAAAAAAGTTACATGTTACAGAGAACTATCTTAAAGAGCTAATAGGTACAGAAAACTTCATTGTTTAGTTTTAAAGAAATTGCCACAACCACAACATCTTTTAGCCAGTCAGGTTCAAATGAGCAATAGAATATTTTAAACATGATATTTCACTTGTATTTGTGGACATTTTTTCACACTTTAGAGACTACAGTGTACTATAAACATGATCTGTATATTTATTGGAAATCAAAATTTCTGTGACTCACTTTGCTGCAATGTTTACCTTATTCAGTGGTCTGGAATGAACATCTAAAGAGTATGTGTCTGCGATTCCCTGTCCCCATCCCCAAACCACTTTTTGTCCCCTTGGGGGAACCTATCACTGTAGTAGAAAATATAAATCCCCTCATTACACAAAGATGTGCTATTTGTCTCCAGCTCATCTCTGTTACACAAACTTTGCTACTTATCACTGCTAACTCATCATGGTAAGCTTTCTTCTATTCCTTGACAATTCCAAACTCTTTATAACATTAACAATTTTTGTTTCCTTTATTTGCCTGGACAACCCCTAATTTCAAGGTTTGCTGATTTACTCTGAAATCTGTAATATTTATTAACATGTTTTAAAGTTACTTCTTTTGAGAAAATTGATTATTTGTTATTGTTTGTTTACTGCTTCTACTTCTAATCTTAGCCATTTCCAATCTTGTTTGCTCTGTTCTAAAAAGTGAATCTGAAGCTGGGGGTGTTGGCCCCTTCCTATAGTCCAGGATGTGGGAGGCCGAGGCAGAAGGATCACAAATTCAGGTCCTGCCTTGGCAATTTAGCTACCCTCTACCTCAAAACTGAAAAAAAAAAAAAATAAAAGTAAAAAAAAACCAAAATGCTCAGATGTAGTTCACCATAAAGGTCTTGAATTCAATCCTCGGTACTGAAAAAAAAGTAAAGTTGAAATTATTGAATTACTGACATTAACTTACTACTGTAAATTTTCACATGACTCTTTGTATAACTCAAAATACGACTGAAGTTATATAGCAAGGTGCCAGTGTTGTTAGTGATAAGTTGACCTTCACTACTTTTGTATATGCATATATTGGGATATTTTTTTATTTCCAGTGAATCTAGAATTTTTCTGTGTCTTGGAACTTACCATAACTTCTACAATGGTTATGCTTTATAAACTGTTTTGTTTCTGCTTGGAATACCAGTGGTCCTTCTTCATCCTGTCTCTACTGCTCAGTTGACTCAAACACACCCACTAATCCTTGGAATCTCAGCTCAGGCGGCAGCTCCTCTGGAGCCTCCTGTGGATCCCTCATACAAATTGAGGTTTGCTGTCCATGGCTCATAGTCTACTTACTGGCTTGGGATTTTCTCACTTTCTGCTTGCTTCTTGATTTTTTCCAATACACTGTGAACTCCTTATGATCAGAAACTAGCTCTGATAGAGTTTCAGCTCCCCAGTACCTATGTGAATTTTTAGTAAATGCTCAATAAATCCTTGGTACATGAAAGAAAAAGTGAAGAAATTTTAGGTCTATAGCTAAGAGACTGGTGCTCTTCTCACAGATACAACTTGTTGGATCTTGTACTGTTAACTCCAACAAAGTGACATGCATTGGTTTTATTCATCTCTGTATCTCCACAGCAGAACACAATGTCAGGAAATGGAAAGGATTCTGCTATGGTTTGATTGTGATTCGAATGTGTCCTCCAAGGCTTTATCTAACTGAAGTGCAATCTCTATTGTGAGAGACTAAAAGGGTGGAAACTTAATCTCACTGAGGTGTTTACAGGTGGGATCTTTTGGGGGTGACTAGAATTGTATAAGGTCATTAAAATAGAGCCCCATAATTTAATCCTGATGGCTTTATGTAAAGAGGGAGAGAGACCAGGCACAGACATAAACAATACAAACTCTGTCTTTCTTCAAGTACTGCCTTGGGATCATGTCAGCAAGAAGACTGTCATTGCAAGTGACTCCTTTCCCTTAGACAAAAGTGATCCAAAATAAACCTCTATTCTTTATTACTTATTAAATGTGTAGTATTTTATTTTTGCAACAGAAAATGAACTAACACATGTGGCTGTAATAAAAGATCACAGCATGTATGACTTAGTAGCAGTTTATTTCTTATAATTCCTTAGATGAAACATCTGAGATTAGGGTACCAGCACATCCAGGCTTTGTAAGCATTTTCTTTCTGTCTTCACATGGTCACTTTTTTTTTTCTGTCCTAATACTGGAGAAAGATTCATGAAACCTCATTCAAAAGACAAGTTCTACTTTTGTAATCCTTTTGTCTTCTTCATAATATTTATGACAGCTTCAAAAAGTATATTTGACTATTCTGCTACTTGTCTAACCTGTGTTTCATTTTATAATATGACACTAAAAATATCAGGTAATAGTGATAACTGAATATTGAAAAATACTTATTAGGGAATGAAAGAAGAAAGGAAAGAAGGAAGGAAGGTAAGAAGGAATAGCAGGTGAATGTCTACTAATGTTTAAAAATTAACCTTCCCCACTTTGATGATCTCTTTTGCTCTCTGGGGTTCATGTTCATATTTGATTTTGCTAAACTTTAGAATCATTATTCAAGAATATGTAATAAGAGAAACGATGAGTATAAAAATTTACCGAAGTTTATACTCAAGTTTATACTTACTTTATCCAAGGACTCTAAACAATACTTCTTTTCTATAGCAGAATTCAATGTGCTATTATCCATGGGCCAGCTATGACTCAGGGCCTGCTTTTGCAATTAAAACTTTACTAGGACATAGTCATTTGCATTTGTTCATGTACTGTGTATAGCTGCATTTGTGTTATAATGGTGGAGTTGGGTACGGTTGTGTTTCGTCAGCACAATTTAGTAGTTACAACAGGATTCCAAATCCCTTGAAGCCCAAATAGTTATCATTTGGCCATTTAGAAACAATTTGTCGACTCCTGCTTAATAACATCATTCAGTCTGCCAGATCATGTGACTCAAGTACCATCACACGTACCTGCTGCTGAGCTGCTTTCTGCTCTAACCCATACTGTAAATTGGAAAATTTCCTTGTCTTATATAAATCACAGCAGTGTTTCCAAGTATGGTGTATGTTATAGTCAGGAGTTGTAAAGAGAACAATTAAAACCAGGACATAGAGTTTATAATATTATTTTTATGATGGTCACCCAGAGTTAACACACGAAAATGCAGGAAATCTATCCACAACACTAAAGACGTAGAATATTTAGCCAAGGACCTGAGTCCCACAGCAATGTCCCACATGAGTCCAGACAAAAACCCAGAACTCATGACAATGCCTCCCACGAGTCCAACTGGGCTATTTTGACTGTTTTGCTACTTGTTTAATGTGTGTTTCATTTATAATATGGCACTAAAAATATTAGTTAGAGGTCTAGAACCCACAAGAAGGACTCATGCCAGTCTCTTTTAAAGATCCATGCTGGGAAGGTCAAAAGGTGAGTGGTGGAAGCTAGAAAGTCTATGCCAGCATGGTGAAGGAGCTGTGCTGGTGGGCTGAGGTTCAGCATGGGAGCCTTGCAGTCACACTCACAACAAAGACCAGGACTTAGGACAGCACCACAGCCATCCTCAGCGACATGGAGGCTCTGAGCTCCTCTGACAATGAGCACAGTGGAGTACATGCCAGGAAGCCGGCATGATGAGTTCACCCTGGAGACCAAGTGATACGTGTCTTCCTATCCGGAGCCAGGAAGCAATTCTTGATGTAAGGACCAAAGCTTCTCCAGGAGAACCTAATGGCTCAAACAGCAACACACAGGAGACCCACAGCACCTCAACACCTCAATGCCTCAACGTCTCAATGCCTCAATGCATTAATGCCTGGCTGCTCCTTCTCCACGTCTCTGTTTATGCTGGCAGCTTTCCTCAGGTGAAACATCTATGCTCAGCAGCAGGGTGATTTTAATTCCGCTGGCATTAAGTTGACCACCAGTTTTTAATCCATAACAGTATATAACCTTCAGGAACCCAAAAATGTTGCCAAGCACTATGTTTCTTCATTGCTGGGAATTCTGATGTCCTGGCATATAGAGGATACTTATATCCTTATAATTCTATAGGTGTGGCAAGACTTTTGACGTAGTAAGTACTCATAAAGTTATACAGAGTATTTACTACTTCTTTGTTGCCATTCAGAACCATAAATATGTTTCAAAGAATGATCTTATAATCAAGATCCCTTCAGACAGAATATAGCTGACTTAACACAGTTCTTGGGCAAGATCAAATACTATGTCCTTTCTATTTTAATTAATTTTTTTGTTTTCTTTCCTGATGAGCCATTAAATAAAATTTAGTCACTAGATTAATGATCATTGAATTGATTTTCTACTGCTGCTGTGACTAATTACCACAACCTATTTAAAATACATAAATTTATCGTCTTAGAGTTCTATAGATCAGAAGTCTGACATAGAATGAACTAAGATCAAAGTAATGGAAGAGTGAATTTCTTTTCTGGGGACGGAAGGGGGAGATTCCCTTATTTACATTTTTTTAGTTTCTAGAGTTCACCTATTTTCCATGACACACAATTCTCTTTCTTCAGCTGTAGAGCCAGCAATTCTGGACAAAGTCCTTACTACTGACATCTCTCTGTTCCTTGTCCTATGTAGCCTTCTACTTTTAAGAACCCTTGTAATTACAGTGGATTCACCTTGTAATCCAAGTTAACCTTATATTAATAAATTTCCTTTTTAGTATCCCTAATCTGAAACTTTAATTCTTCTTTGTCATGTAACCTGACATTGTGACATGACTGGGGATCAACAGATAGCTATTTTTGTGGGGTTATGCATTGTGTGTATTACAGGCACAAATCAAATACTACAGAGTATGTTGCTGTGTTCTAAAAAAAATATACCACAGCAGTTAGCTAAATTCCTAAATTTCACCTGGAACAGTTTACAGGCCACATGTAGTGAATTAAATGAAGATACGAATGAGGATCATAATAATTTTATGTCTCTGGCTCTGTCATCAATTTCAACTCTTTGCCTTGGGAGGCAGTAAGTAGTGTTTCTGATTTTACTGTTCTGGCTGGGAAGAAAAAGCAGTGTTCGAAATGTCTGCTAATTCTGTTCCCCAATAATGCTCTCCTTCTGCATAGTAGGGATGCACTATGACAATTTCCTCCAGTAGCCAAGTATATTTGGCTCAGAAACTGTGAAAACAGCCACAGAGAAGGCTGATGGATCTGCTGGGTGCACTATTTATGGACCCAGCCCAGGAGTTTCTCATATGGCATTTGTACCCTCAGCCCACTCTAACTGGGTAATTATTATAGTGACTTTCTCATGCCAAGCTTAGCTAAGATCTTATTTCCAACAGCTCCTGAAAAATTTGTAAATTCATCTTTCTATAACATAGTTACTTCAGCATAGGACATTTGGGGAAAGACTGAAAAAAATAACTCTTCACAGAATCCCTCACAATAAAGACCCATTTAGCTTCAGTAAAATGTTATTCAAATTTCAACAAAAGAAATATGCCCAATTTATCAGTACAAAACACCCAAATGACTATACATATTGTGGTATGCTAAATTCTTATGACAGCTGCTGAGATTCCTGCTCCTGGTGAGTGCACCTTTGTGTATAATT